ACATAAATATTCTGTCACAATAAGTTATTTAGAATTGATTGTAACTTTTAAAGCATTATTGGATAATAAAAGAAATGAAGTCACAGCTTAAATTTATGGTTAGTTTTACTGATACTAGCATAATGTGTTGAAAAAAGTATTTCTTCCTCTTAAATCTTCTCATTACTTACTGTCTAAGGAGAACCTGTTAAAATTAGAGCTTGGAATATTGATGGTTTGCCTTCTAATCAGTTCTCAATTGGAAATAGTATTATCTTATTCAAAGCAAGAAGACGGCCATTTTGTATTGATCTATAAGGACAAGCTAATAAATGGATTAAGAAGATGGAATAATCGAAAAAAATTGCCATTATTAAATTATTAGATTCTGATTTCATAAATTAGAAAATGTCATTTAATTTGTAAAACCAGTTTAATTAAAAAATGTTCTTGAAGAATTTATATGCTTCTCTCTTTTACAATAAGTACTCACTAAAGGAAATACTTCTTATATCAAATTAAGAGAAAGCACTATTGAATATTCAAGTCAATTCCAATTATATATTACTACTAAACTCAGAAATCCTCATTATCTACCCGAAATCTCTACTAAAATCTTTTTACTTAACTTTATGATAACGTAAAAAGGATTAAGTGATCAATTATTGGTTATCTTGGTAAAGAATGAAAGACCTGATCTATAAAAAAAAGGAAAGACTTATTGTGAGTGTGCTAGTAATAATAAGTAGTTAGCAGAAATTGAATAAAAAATATTGGAAGTTTTATCTGGAAATAACAATATTTTAACAGATTGGATTGCTATAGAGATCTTAACAGCTTCTAAATTAAAATCAAATGAAATTAGCGAAAAATAAAATATTGCCGCGAATGCAGCTCGATAAGAATATGTGTTTGTTTCATAATAAGCTTATTGTTTATCCTTTGTATCTTAATAATATTGATCCCATGTATTAATATTCTCTTGTTTATTTTATTAATCTCTTCACCCAATCTATTGTAAAATCAGATAAATCTGATAACATTGGAATATGATTAGAGAATCTTAAAAATCATTTCCTTCTTTCATTATACAGAAACATTTGTATCATTATTTGAAAAAGATAAATAATCATTCTCTTTCCTGTTGGCTACAAGAGTTATGGAATTTTGCAAATAATTAATTTTAGAATTTTTTTAGATTTTTAATGACTAGAGGATTGTCATTACAAGACAAAATGCCAGATTAACTAAAACTGATTGGGTTTCACCATCATGATTTTCAGAAACATTGCTACTATTTCTGAATGTAGATTAGTCAAATTTATTATTTTAAAATAGGTTGCTTGATAATATATTTTTCCTTACACAATAAACTTAGAGTTCGTATATAAGGTTAGACTTTTAATCTAATCTATAACTAATATGATAGATTTACTGATTTTTTATCTAGTATGAAAGGTTCTCTTGTTGTAGTTTGATAAAGTGATAAATCTATTAGCTGATATCTTTGAATTAATTGCTCTGGGATACTAACAGATTATAATAAATAATACAGAGTTTCTCTAATTGTTTAATTCTTCTTGATTTACTAATTTTATTGGATCAATCTTTGGCACATCAGGTTCTATGATGGATTTCTCAATCAAAATTATTTATTCAATTATTATATCAATCAGTTTGAAAATGTATTAATTCGAAATAAGAAATCTGAGAAAGTGAGAAATTATATCTAGGTTTCCATCACTAGTTCGAGTCAAATTTAAATGATTGAACTTAAAAAATTGTTAATTTTCAGCCTCAGCAATTTAAAACTCCCTAAGTTCAATTAAATTTAAAAAATTAATTCATTAAAGGCCAAACATCAAATGAAAAGCTTTAATAAAGTTTAGTTCTATATAAATAAATTTTTATTTTGATGAGAACTCTTACTAAAGATTTTTTCAACCTTAAAAAATATTAAAAAGAATTAAAAATAAGTTTTTCTATCAAGTATATTTTCCAATTAGTTTAAATTGTTTCAAATAAAATAAATGAAGAATTAGTGATTGTAGAACTATAGCAATAATGAAACAAATTTTATAAAGAAATAGTAAAATTAAGAAAAGAAGGATCCACAGAGCGGATTCTATTTAAAGCTATTAACATCTAGAAGGAAAATGATTAGACAGCCAATTTATTTCTCAACTTTTCTTTTTCTTGTAATTTAAAAGTAGATTACTAATCTTGATTCCTTTTTTCTTTACTCAAATTTTGCATATTTAATTTCCATTTCTCTTAATGAATTTTATTGACGTTTTCAAATTCTAATTAGGTGATTTAAAACTCTATACTTAACTTGTTAGTATCAAAACTTTGGTAAATACTTATTTACTTTTTAAAGATTTTTTGAATTTTTCCTGTCTCTAGAAGAAATGATAGTATTGTTGATGGCTAAAATAGCATGCATACGAACTAACACTAAATTACTTTTTGTAATTTGGAATGAATTTTCAATCTAAACTTAAATGAAAATACATTATTTTTTTTAATCTACATACTTTCGATGATTTCTCTTCATCTACTTTTTCTACAGCTGTTGCTTTTTGTTGTCTTCTCTTTTCATTAATAGGATCCTTTGGGCTATATACTTTTTATAATTATCATACTTATTACAATGTTGTATAGTTTGATATTAATTTACGATAAATCTAGGGCTTTCTTTTTTAATTTATTTACTACCCTATTTCTAAATTTTGAAAAACGCTAAATCCTTGTTTAGCTTTGAGATTATCAATTTTGCCAGCAATTTTGATATAATTGAAACTAAAGTCCTTTAGCATTTTTTTTTAAATTAACTCCTTTATTTTTAAGGTAAATATCGAATTCTCTATATTTAACCAAAAATGTGCATTTGCAAATTTCTTTCTCAACTCTAGAAACTTTATCTCTAAGAGCATGCTAAAAGGTCGCTAAATTGAATTATTACTTTTATTATTTTTTAGATTAACTGCTTGGGTAATTTTTTTTGCTTCTTTTTCCCTATTAAATAAGAACTCTATTTTATTGCATCATAGCCTTGCTTGATTTTATTTGTGCAACATATTTGCACTTATTAGAATTTTGTATCTTAATTTATTTCATCTATCAAATAAATGAATTTACCTATTTAAGGACTTTTGAATTAATAATTTGTTAATAAGATCTAAAATGTATTTAAGTAGTTTGACAATGCTGTTTAATACTTGTTTCTACTTGATTGTTAAATTCATTTGTTGGATGATAACAAGATGAATATTTTCTTAAATTAGAATCATATATGAGATAATTGATCAGTTGATTTATTAATGGAGAACAAAACTTATGGATAAAAGGTCTGATTAAGCTATCTTTCAAGCTCTTGCCTAAATATTATATAGTTCATGATTGATTCTTTCCCAGTTTTCACAACAATTATCTACAATGAAGAAAACTGTTATGATAAATTATTTTATTAGGGTTAAGCATTTTTGTTGAAACTCTTTATGGCTGAATATTTTTAACATTTCAAACCCTAACAATATTTCGGATGTTCTTATTCCATATCTTAAATTCAAATTTGAGTAAATTATTTGTAATTAGCCTACATCATTTCTGGACCTATTAAAAAAAAGTTATTTATGATTGGAAGATTTTATTAATAAAATCTAGCTGAACTATATTTAATAAAAAACTGTTCATTCAATTTGTTTTTCTTTTATTTTTAGGAAATAGTAATAAATTATTGATTTATTATAATCACTAAAACTATAAATTTATTCTAAGAGTTTATTATATTTACTCCATATAAATGTCCATTAATATTTATATGGTATTCTAAATAATTTAAACTGGAATTTCCCTAAAAATATATAGGATCAATTGATTTTATTATTTTAATCGAATTTATCAAAATTTGTTCCCAAATTTCTTTGTTAGAATAGGGTATGATTTTAAAACAACAAATGAAGGATTGATCAAACCTTTAATATTTGAATATCGAAAAAAAAATTTTATTATAATTTAACAAATATGATCAAACATAAAAATTTAAATTATCTCTGTTTAGATATTTAATTTTTTGTTAATATTTCCATGCTATATAATAAAATTATTTAATATAGACTAGAATAATCTTGAAAGTTAATGTTAAAAAAAATATTCTTATAATTAACTACCAAATCATGTTGAAAATAAAAACAACCATAACAATAATATTTCACTTAATAATAATATAATTTTATTCATTTTGTTTTATTGTTAAATTACAATAAAATAATAATAATAGACATCAAGTTATGTCAATAATATAATTAAACTGATTATTGTATTTTGCCAACCACTAATAAAATATTGTCTTAACAGCTGGTTCAAATGGAAGCAAAAATTGCAAAGTAAAAGTTTTTCTCTTAATCCAAATAAAATATTATTGAAATAGCTGAGGCTATTATTTTAATTTTACAAATAATAATTAATGTAGAGGCTTGCTATAATAGGTTGAGTGTATAGGAAATATCA